AAAAGAAGCTGAATTATATAGGAAAGCAAGAACTGAACTTTCCTTTTGTTCTTGTAGGCATTTGTAGAGAGGAAAATGGTATGTGCAGGCTAGGGCATGCATTATTATCTTGGTATAGCTGAAATTGGTTTTGTAAAGGTACTGCTAGTAGGGTGTATTTTAGATAATCACACAGAAGGTGAAAACACAGTATGGTTGTTGCTGCACAGTAGGAACAAGGAAGTGTCACAACTAGATAGGTATGTTAACACCAGCAGTTTGAGTCCTGTTGATGATCAGATTTGAAGAAGGCTGCCAGCCTTGATGCTCTATTTTTCTTCTGAAAGAAGACTGAGAGAGCTGTGAGAGTACTTGGGACTCCTGCACAGGACAGCTGTGTAGGTAAAACCTTTCTTGCAAGTGATGGGCCTCAGTGCTACCAAAACTATTCAATTTTCTAGGTAATTACGTGATTCTAGTTAAGGTTTGGGGCTGGGATTCTGTTTTGTTTTTTCTTTGGAGTGGAAATTGAGATCTGATCAGCAGACATGGTTGAACTTTTGATGAGTCACTGATGATTACCATCTTTGCCTGTAAATTATTCTGTTTTCCTTATTACACCAAGGAGAGATCCTCATCTCTGGCTGTTTGTTAGAACAGGTGAAGGTTTGCTTAACAAGCAGACATTGCTTTGCTCTGTAAAGGAAGGGTTTTGTAATGAAATAGTTATTGAATTAAGCAGTACTTCCCACATATCTTGGTACGTGTTTGATCTGTTTTAAGTATTTTTAAATTCTGTTCTGTGCGGCACTGATAATAAACTGGGAAATCAAAGAATTTGTACTGTCTTGGCACCACTCAGAAAGGCTCATTTCTCTCTTCTAAGCTGTTACGGGATGTAATCTTTTGTAGGTATTGAATTTGTATAAGCAATCACTTTTTTTTCTGTGTCTCCCTCTTGGTTCATTGAGTTGAGGTGCATGTGCACACGTGTGCATCATGCTGGTGCTTGCTCTGTAAGGGTAAAATTGCTTGTTTTACCTTAAAAGAGGGACTTAGCCTGGTCTATAACATACCTCAGTACTCACAGTATACAATCTGGAAAAAGCAATATGCAATTGTGAAGAGAACTCTGCAGGCACATAGGGAACAAAGGCAGACTTGCACCTCCATGCCAAGCCTCGCATCTCTCAGTTGAGAGGTCTCTCTTCCTAGCTCTGGATCCAACAGAAGAGGGAGAAGGAGGGGTACAAGTGGGCAGCAGAAGGGTTAGAACACAGGGGTCCTACATTCTGTCTCTCTCTTTAAATGAGGGAATATCTGATTTTGGGAACTAGGAACATTGTGTTGTGTGATGAGAGTATGAAACTTGGTCATTTTATGGTGACAAGTACTATGTCATAATTTCCAGTACCAAAACGACAGTGAAGAGGAATGTCCTGAAAAGAAATCACTGTCAGGTTTAAATTTAGGAAGACTGTTATCCTTCTGATGGCCTTGCCACAGGGATGGAGGAAAAAAGTAAATTGGTGAATATGCCATCAGACATGCTGGAATATTGGATTGTGCTTCAGTAAGGCATACAGTGCTGTCTGCTAGTTCCCAGGATGATCTCTTACATTTTGCATTTCATGAATTAGGCATTTTTAAGGTGGCAGCCTTCAAAAAAGGGAGTGAAATGTGAAGCAAGTCTTTTAGTGACTGAGAAAGAGGCAGATGTTGCAGATGTCTCTTACCTTTCTTTTCTTCTGGCCTATTTTGTTGTTTTTGTTCTACTGCGTGTCTCTCCTGCTGACTTTGTGGGTGGTAAAAGCTGGAAGTGGTGGTAGCAGGAAGCTGATGTAGCATGAAAAGAAAACATGATGTACTACTTGCATTGTCAGATAAACACTGCCATCAGCTCCTACTCCAGTACTGTTCAGCCTTTGTTCATCCAAATTTATGTGTGGGAGAAGAGTCAGGCCTCCCTGTCTGCATGGTGGTGCTCGTGCTCAATCTTCAAAAAATGTGAGCATGGGAGCTGGTGGCAGCACCAGTGGGTTTTCACTGCCTCCTGAGGAACAGGATGAATTGTGTCCACGTCACAGGGAATGGATTTAAAAATCTGTGAGTGTATTTCACTCCCCCCACCAGTGTGTTATTAATTTAATTGCTCTTCAGTTTCTGAGGGGGCTGGGAGGGGGTGGAAAGATCTATTTTAAACTGCCACCTTCTTTAATTTATGCTTGTGATGTATTTTTACCAGCAACACTTTGCAATCCAACTGCCATTTCTAAATGTCATTTACTTGAATAAAAAATGTAATTACGTTTCTAAGTGTGACATAAGCACCAAAAGTAGTAACTGAATCACAAAGTGCTGTTTGAACCACAGCTTTTCCATGACAGGAGGGAAAGTTTATGAAGTCCAGGGTATACTGTAATATAAAGTGTAGCAGAAGTACTCAAAATCATTTGTTTGCTGGTTTTCCCATTTCCCATTAGGCTTTCTATTAGAGAAATATCTATTTATAAATTCCCCATATTAAATAAAAAGGGGTGAACAATACTTGGTTATCTCATGTTCTCTGACGTGGATTTGTGGTTTTGATGGGAATCAGTAAGCCAGTGCTTCCCAGCACTCTTTGAAGGGCAGTTGCTCATGCACCTGTTAACCATATGCATTGAAAAGGGGGCTTGTTGAACTCCAGTAGGATTTTTTTAGGATTATTACCATCAAAAGCTTTTTCAAAAGATTGCTTGATTCAGTTTAAAAGCTGATACAGACCTCTCATCTTTCTGCCTGTAAAAGGTGTAAAGGAAGATATTTTGCATTCCCATGTATTTCTTGGTACTCCATAAAGCAAAGGATATCATTTTAACAAATGAACCAGCTCTTGCTTTTTATAGACCCAGTTTGTTCAGAATCAAAAATGAGAGTGAACCATACACTCATTTTAAGTAGCGAAGTGAATGTCTGCTGCATCTTCCTTTTGATACTGTATGTTTAAATTGGTGTTAGTAAATTTAGTTTTAAACGTCATTGTTTTGTATGCAACAGTGTAAATCCAGAACACCCACTGATCCATGGGCTGAATGTTTGTAAGCCATCAAGTTCCATTCTAGTTAGCAGAAGGTTTAGTTATTCACAGTCCACTGAGGTTTTTTTAATACTGATGTCTTTATCCTAAAAAAGAGAGAGAAAAGGTTGTGATGGCTTGATTGTGCTGATATTGTCATCTGTTACTAATTCTCAGCTGTTGCTCTCTAGGTAGAAATTTGCGTGCTTATTGAAAATGTACTTACTGGTGTCCCTCAGCAAGATGTGTGAGTGTGTGTATATGTGTTTGTGAGCTCCAAGGGGGAGTGTCCCAGCGTTTCCACGAGGTTTTCCATTTCCAAACCTTACAGCTGATGTTTTGCTGTCTGTTACTTGGCATCAGTAATAAACATTTCCTGGAGCTTCAGGTTTTTGATCTTCTTGGTTGTGTATGAATGCATTTCCTGCTTTTTACTCATCAGTGTGTGCAGGGAAAACTCCTGGTCATGCTACGTTACTCACATTTTGGTGCAACCTAGGAGCAGAAGCTAAGAGAAGACCTGTCTGTCATCTTGTATGTTCACAGCATACAGTTTTAATGTAAATGGGAACTAGCAGCCCAACCCCACCTCGAATTACCTCTTTAAAGTTTATTAAAACCTTTTCATTTACAGCTCTTAACATGGCTTTTATTCATGGGAGAGATGAGGTCTGTGTCTTGCCACCGGCTGACTTGCATATGGCATCCTGTAATAAAACTTCTTCAAACAACAGAATATTTGGAAACGCCAAGTATCAGCAGTGCTCAGTATATATGCAACACTGCTTGTAAAATGCATGCATCGCTGTTTATCTCATTGCCAAGGTTGGGATTCGCCTGTAACTCTTTGACTGGATAGTTGTCGACAGTGCATGGGCTTAACTTTCTCGGAAAACTTAAGCCCCTCTTAAATTTCCTGTTAAAGCCAGGAGGGGCAGAAGTTCAGCTGACACAAAACTATGCTGAATGAGTAATTCCCTCTGTGGACGCTCCGTAGAAGGATCTTTACAGCCTTCTCTGGGGATGCCTTTATAAAAAGTTGAGCTCTCATAAAGTTTTGTACTAAATAAATAAGTTAATAACACAGCAGCTGTTGATCATAAATTCTGGGAATTTCCTATACTCAAATTTCATCCAGAGGACAAATTTCTCACTTAGGGAGCAGATACTGCCTTTGTCAACTATTCAGTCCCCAGACCCTCTCTCAGTTGCAGGTCTTCTTATCGACAACAGATAACCATAACCTTTCCTAACCCTGTCTGTAATGCCAAGGGCATGACAGAACTGTGTCCTCATTTATGTCTGTAAGAAGAATGAGAGTGCACCCCCTTTGTGATGATCTCCTGAGCTTTCTACCAAATCCCTGGGGAGTTCTAAAATGACCCTAAACTTCCCCAAATTGAGGCAGGAACATTCCTTTAATTCCCCAGGCAGTTGTATGATGCTCAGTCAGCTAATATTGCCTTATATGGCAAGTAAGTCCTAGGAACTCCTGGTCTTTAAAGCCACGACTTAGAGACAAATTAATGACAGTACAGGTCATCCTGAAGTAAATAAATAAATAAATAAATAAATTGGTTTTGTTTGTTTGTTTGTTTGTGTATTGAACAGTTGCTTTGATACCAGTCTTTCTGTGACTCCATTGTAACCATAAATATAATTACAATACTGTAACTATATATTTAATTACAATACAGTAACTATATATATAGTTACATCCACTGTGTAGAGGAAAGCTTGGAAGCATGAACCATGTGCATCCAAACCCCTAAGAAACTTGGAAAACTAAGTATATAAATTATATGTATTAACTAAAATATACTCATCTTTTACATATCATGCTTTGTTTCATCTAGAGTGGTATCATACTTGGATGATTTTTCTCTTTGTAAGAGAATAAATCAAAACAAATATTTTGAAATAGCGGTAAGATTTTTTTCCTCTCTTTTTATGTCTCTTTTAGGAAGGCATGAGGTGTGGTCCTGGACAACAGCCACCAAAGAATCCTTGTGTCTCATGTGGCAAAAAGTGAAAGTGCAGCTAATGCTAAGCATGTCTTTCCTTGCTGCTGTTTTTTGGTATTGTAGAAGGCTATACAGCTTTTTAGCACAGCTACTGAAATGGTAGGTTTTTATTAAGCAGACTTCAATCTTCCATGCTGTTGCTTATTTCAGTAAATACTGACCTCTGACACCTCCTCATTGACACCTGTTTTATCATTTATATTTCAGGTGGAGCAACTACCTTCAGACAAAACTCATAAGTAATCTTTTTGTTGTCATACCGCATTCATTAATCCCCCTGCAACTCCCCTTTAGATGCAGAACAGCAGAAGGTAACTAATCTATGAATCAATCTCAATTTAGGGAATCTCAGTGTGCTGACAGAAGTTGATCTACTTGGTTACAGTGCAAGAGAATGGAAAGAAGAAACAAAGCAGGCTAAACACATGAGGGAGGTAAGAATTAAATTTTAATGTCTGCATGAGGACGGGGAGGGGAACTAGAACCTGGGAAAGGAATAGCACTCACAGTGCAACCAGCTGCAGCAGCTGCCAGAGCCTGCTACACTGGCTTGAGAGATGAAAAGCAAAAAGGGCAGCATGAATATGTGTCTAAATAAAGGCTGCAGCAGCATGGGCCAAAATGTTGATGAAGTTTTAGTTTTGCATATTTTCTGAATTATCCCCTCTAGCACCAGCAACACACGCAGCACCCATTAAGAAAAATCATCCCCAGTGCTAAAACCCAAATAATTTGGTCTTAGGTGCTATCACTTGGCCAGCCTTTGATTTTAGGTAAAAACTCTCATTCCAGGGAGGAATGAAGCACCATATCCAGTTCTCTTCCAAGCTCTGAAGGTCCATGTGACAGCAGCCAGTGCCTGGCAGCCTTCCCAGCAGCCGCTAAGGCTCCTTGTCTGGCGCCATCAGCTGCAGCTGGGGGCAGGCAGGGCAGGAGCTTGCATGTGACCTGTGCCAGCTTGGGTGGTGCCCAGAGGGCACGGAGCCAGTGTGCTGGGTGGTGGCCATCCCATGCCTATGCACACCATCCCTCTGCTCCAGCTCTGTGCCGGCATCTTCACCTGCGGAAGGTGCTGCAAGCAAAGACACACACAGCGTAACTGCACCAGTGTTTTTGGCATGTATGTAGCTGTAGGTCATGGTATTGGAATTGCAGAGCAAATGCTTGCCAAGAAGGACTTAGGAAAGGGTAAAAAGAAGCTGATAAGGCTAAGCAGCAGCATAAGGGAGTTATAGAAAAAAAGAAGATAGTTTTCAGAAAGCTGGAGTTGTGTTCAGTTGACTAACAGAGAAAAGATCCAACTTTGCCATGTTAAATGCAAGAACACAGCAAGACCAGAAGTTCACAGAACAACACAGAAGGCCAAAAACTATTTGAAGGAACAAGTGACAAAAGATAGCAAAACTTCTAATAATATTTGCAAGCACATACTGGGCAAAAAGCCTTTCAGAAAATCCATGAGCCATCTAGGTGATGAGACCTGAAAAGGAAACTCCTATATATGGAGCAGCCAATGGATGGGTAGTTATATAAGGGAGGAGTCGTCACTGTAAGGAGCACATTTTAGGATGAGGTCTTTTGAGATCCTTAACTAGCATAACATGCTTGCTGTCCCCAATAGGGCTTGTCTTGTCTGTCCCTCTTTCTCATCTCGTTCTTGCTAAGCAATCCCTCTCCCTCTTTTGTGCTGGCTCTTATGTCTTCTCTTGGATGTGGTCTACCCAGATGGTGAGCTGATAGAGCAGGTCATCCAGCAGGAGCCTTCTCTGAGCCCCCCAATCTTTCTGAAGCAGCAGGAGGTTCCCCCAGCAGGAAGATTTCAGTAGGTTTACTGTCACAGCTGATAGAGTAAGGGGAGACAATGCAGCTGAGAAGTGGTGGTGGGATGGGGTGAGGAAGGGACAGACATGAAAGAGGACCAGGGATTGAGAGCGTCTTGCTGCCCCCTTCAGGAAGCAAACTGTAAGAGTGATGCAGTGGCCTGTGGGACTCTTCCTAATTCTCTACCAGTTTATTGCTCCAAATTGTCCCAACAAATGCTCAGATAGGAGCCAGAGATAATGCAGAGGAAGTGCAGGGAGTGTGTAGCTGGAACTAGGGCTGTGCACTTCAGCATAGAGCTGCCAGATCTGCTCAGCCTCAGGTCATCACTGCACAATGGATTCAGGTCAGTGTAAGGAGATGTTTTTGCCAAAAGGAGTTTTCTCCAGATATCTGTTTCTCCCTTTTTGCTGCTGCATCTCATGTGTCAGTGCAAGTTGTAGAGTGGCTGAGGTTAAAGCTATTACGGCACAAAAATCTTTGCTGATGTGCTGTAATTTGGTTGACCATGTGAATGTTTACGCTAGAAACAGTGCAGAGACTTGAACAAGTCCCTGGGTTTGGAGAGAGTGCAGAATCACTCTTAAGGGGTGGTGCCAGTTTAGGGTGTTTGCAAAAACCATGGTGTTGTAACAGTTTTGTGTATATAAAACTTAAAAAATATACGCTCTCATTCCCCTACCTCTCTTATGAATAGTTTGGAATTGGACTCCAAACAAGATGGGTTTTGTCCAAGATTTAAAATTTTTTATTGATAATTTTTTTTCTTTTTCTAGGCCTATGAAGAATTGTTTTGGAGCTGTCATATCAAATACCTGAGACAAGTCAGGAGAGACAACTACAGTGCAGTAAGAGCAGTGCTTTTTCAAATATTCAGCCAAGGCATTCCTTTTCCTTCATGGATGAAGGAGAGAGATATACTGAAGGTAAAATTCATGTCCTAAATGAACACCATTCAGCTATCCTTGCATAGCAGAAGGAAGCTTTGTTCAGTGTGGAAACTGATGTGCTGGCTGTTGAAGTAGAGAATCATTATCAGAATTTAAAGAGAGAGTTTTAAAACCCATTGAACTGCTTAACTGAAAAACTGTCCCTGATCTAAACATTCCTATATAAAAATGAGTCTCAATTATATTAAAAAAAAAAAAAGAAAAGGAAAGATAAGAAAAAGTGGATGGATAAATTTTACTGCAACCCTGCTAGATGTCACTCCCTTAACACAACAGGTTATTTGAATCCTCGTCATCCACATCCATACAAAGTCCAGTGGCTTACTTGGGAACTGCTACGTTGCTGGAGCAGCAGAAATCTTGTCCTGGGCTCCAGACAGCAGCAAGGAGGTGGGATCTATAGCTGCTGCCTGTAAAGACACGTGTGCAGCCTGGAAGGTGTCTATAATCTTAAATATGTCACTGAATCTGGAAATACCCAGCTTTTCCAGAGTGTGGGTTGTATATTTTGCTGAGAGCATATTTTCATCTTTTTTTGGCTAGTCCTGTTTTAAAAGTTTCTTAAGGACTTGGCAGTCAAATGGATGCTCCTTCATAGCAGTTGAGTTGTGAGGCTGATTTTTTTTGTTGTTTCAACTGTACAACCAGATGATAGAATCACATCGTAAATTGTATGTAGACAAGTTTATATAACTTCTTGTTATGATTATTATTAGCTTGCCTTTTGTTTTTTTTCCCAGCTTCCTGAAAAGCTTTTGTATTCTCAAGGTTGTAACTGGATTCAGCAATACAGTTTTGGGCCAGAAAGATACACAGGTCCCAATACCTTTGGGAAATTGCGCAAATGTATGGAGGCATTAAAGACAAATGTGAGTATTTAGGAAATGGTTGGGAAGAATAAAAGCCCTGAGGAATGGGTTGAGACAGTGTTAGGGAACTGCTCCTGGTTACATATTTCTGTGGCAGTCAGCCTCCCTCCCGGGTTTTGACTGCTGAGCTACTGGCCAAGCCATCACCTCTCCTGCAGCAGCATCCAGCTTTTGGGATTCTACTAGGCTAAGTACTCAGGAGCCCCCTGCAAGTTAGGGAGGCCGTTCTCCCCACAGCTGTTACTGTGTGGCTGGTCCTTGCCATCAAGTGCAGTATTTCATCATTTTGATTAAAAATAAACATGCTGTATGAGATGCTTCTGGATTCCCTCCCCAAATGGGAAGGAGCAAACAGATGGTGCATTTTATTTTCAAACTATTGTATTTCCTTTGCTTCCATCACCATGGAATGTTTTATTTATCCATTTTTACTGTATTTTCTCTCTGTAAGCTTAAGCACTTGATTACAAAGACCTGTCAGCCTCTGCTCAGCATTGCCTGATAGCCATCATTCCCAACCCAGGAGTATAACTCTTATTTGCGTAGTTAAAGCTTGGGGAGATTTAGTAGCCCCAAAGCATTCTGAAACAGAAACAGTTAGCCCGTCAAGGCCTTTCACTTTCTTTGAGCTCCTCTGGGGTTCCTGCATGTCTGCAGTGGTGTGAACTCTGTTCCTGTTTGCTTTGTCACAAACTGTCCCTAGCACACCACCAACCTCTTCTCCCTCTTCCTCCTGCCTGGCAGTTGCTTCATGTGCTCTCCTGGGTCACAGCCATGAAGGGGATGCTAGTATAGGCTGGACTCCAGGCTTTTGGCCAGTTGGGCTGAAATGCTTCTTGGAAGGCATCCATTATCCAGCATTATCAAACTTTAAACTGTCATTTTATATTCTACAATACACCATGTTTCTGGGTTGTCTTACTACAGTTGTAACATCTTACTTTACTAGTACACATTGAAGATGATTCCTTTCATGTGGCCCTGTGTATATGAGCCTCAACTCTGTAGTTCTAAATGCTATTAACAGTGATAGTAATTGTTACTTAAAAAACCCCGACAAACTCCAAACAGACACAGCTCTAGAAACAAAGCACTAATAAGAAAAATAGGGAATTAAGATAGAGATCTGGTCCTTGCCCCTTGTCTGCACCCTTTCACATGCTAACATGACAGCCTGTCTTCTTGAGATATACCTGATGGTTCTTGTGTGCAGTTACCATTTTGTTCTGGTTTGCTCTTTGCATTTGCCACTGTTAGGTTGTTTGGCTTTTATTTTTAACTTGTAGTTCTTTTAAGTTGCTGTTAGTGCACAAAGCATTTAAACTGGATTTTTTTTAAAGAAAAAAGTTTCAAGTCAACAGAATGAATAAATCCTTACAGTTAACAAATTGTTTCAGAGCAGGTCTGTGATGCATTATGCTGTTACTGGGAATGAGGTCTAGCTCCCAACTTCATTTTATTTTTATAAAGATGGTATTTGGCCAGTGAGATGGATTTTTGCCTATTTTCACTAGGAGGAGTCTCTGTTGCCTTTCCCAGCTCCATTGTCATAGAATCATTTAGGTTGGAAAAGACCTTTAAGATCATTCACTCTTTACAGCTACCTGAAAGGAGGTTGTAGCCAGGTAGGCGTCGCTCTCTTCTCCCAGGCAACCAGCAGTAAGACAAGAGGGCATGGTCTTAAGCTGTGCCAGGGTAGGTTTAGGTTGAATATTAGGAAAAAACTTTTTACAGAGAGAGTAATTGAAATGGGCTGACCAGGGAGGTGGTGGATTCACCATCCCTGGAGGTTTTTAAGATGAGACTGGATGTGGCACTTGGTGCCATGGTCTAGTAACCACATCAGTGTTGGATCAAGGGTTGGACTTGATGATCTCAGAGGTCTTTTCCAATCCAGTTGATTCTATGATTCTGTGGTTCTATGATCAAGTCCCAACCATTAACCCAGTGCTAAACCGTGTCCTCAAGTGCCATATTTACATGCATTTTAAATATCTCCAGGGACAGTGACTCAACTGCTTCCCTGGACAGCCTCTTCCAATGCTAGAAAACCCTTTTGGTGAAGAATTATTTAATAATATCCAATCTAAACCTCCCCGGCACAATTTGAGGCCTTTTCCTCTTGTTCGATCACATAGGAGAAGAGACTGAACTCCACCTGGCTACAGTCTCCTTTCAGGTAGTTGTAGAGAGTGATAAGGTCTCCCCTTGAGCCTCATTTTCTCCAGGTTTTCAAAGTGAGGCCTCACTAGTGCTGAGTACAGGGGGACGATCACTCATCCTGATGGCCACATTATTCCTGATCCAGGCCAGGATGCCATTGGCCTTCTTGGCCACCTGGTCACACTGCTGGCTCATGCTCAGTCAGCTGTTGACCAGCACCCTCGGATCCTTTTCCACTGAACAACTTCACAGCCACTCTTTCCCAAGCCTGTAGCGCTGTCTGGGGTGGTTGTGACGCACGTGCAGGAACGAACACTTGGCTTTGTTGAACCTCATACGATTGGCCTTGGTCATCTTGTGGGTTGCTGCCTGCAAATGCTGTTCTGCCTGGGCTGTGTTAGTTAACAGGTGCTATACGCTTAGAAAAGGTATCTGTTCCTGTTGTGCAATCTTTCATGTAAAAAGATTTCTTAATAATTTTATTAATATTCTTCTGTATGCTTTCCAGTGGGCTGAAATAAATGCTATTAAAGATCAGGAGGAAAGAGGAAACATGTGTAATACACTCTTTTCTGATGAAAGCAAGGAACACAAACTATATGAGGCCATAAAGTTCATCATGCTCTATGAAGTTGTTGAAGCCTATGAGCAGATAAAGAACAGGGACGAACCTGTACACAACCTTTTTAACCTTCTTTTTGCTCGTGATACTTCCTCTGACCCTCTGAGTTTTATGATGAATCATCTGAACTCCATAGGTGACTCTATTTGTCTAGACCAGGTAAGGATATAAATGGAATATAAATCGCAGAACTTATTCCATCCTTGATGTGATTAGGTGATCATATCAACATATCATCCATGATAGCTGGCCCATTTACTTCTTTGGGATGCGGGGAAGTGGACTGAGGATAGCTATTTATCTTCCAGGAAAGAAAACGTAGTAAGAGTGGACAGTTTTCTTGCTGGGACAAAAATAAATGCTGCGGGCTGTCAGTAAGACATAGTTTAGAACAACAATACCTTTGATATATAAAATAATTTTAGATTATGCAGTTTTGACCTGTTGTTTTACTTTTCCTATCTGTTCCACTATGCCAAACCCTGTAGCATCCCTCTGTTTTTTCCCCATTCTTTGGTTCCCATGAGATCTAATGTCTGTTAAAAGTATGTAATGAGAACTCTACTGCTCACCTTTATATGTTAAGGTTTTTGCTTCCTATTTTATATTTAGTGAGGAGTTAAGTGCTGTCATCTAAACTCCATGCTGCCACTCTGCAAGTAATTTTCCTTTCCAATGGGGAAATTATTTTTTATAATCAGTTTCAGTTATCAACTGTTACATGATTCAGTCACCTTTCGGAACAGTTTGATTATAACTGAACAAGTTCTGCTCTATCTGGTTTTGTCCAAGGAAATGAACTTTTCCCAAAGCATTTTTCCAGATTAAGCCTTTGCAAGAAATGTCAATGAAGATGTCAGTTCTGAAGTTTCATATATGTGAAGTACAAAGAAATTTTTTCCTTTTGCTATTACGTTTTCGTTATGTAGCAAGTGATCACAAGGTGGCAGGCTTCCCATTTGTCAAGGTCTGTCAATCTTTTGATAATAGCTAGTCCTTTCGTGCTCCCTGCTACATTGTGTGAGCTGGCTTTGGGAGCAGGTTACGTATCCTGTCAGGTGGAGGAGAGATGTTTCCAAAGTGTCAAGCATTAACCAGAATATCCTCTGCATGCAAAAGAGCAGTGTTGAGAATCCCTTCAAACTTTTAATTCTTACTCCACTTGTAAAAGGGCTCCTTTTATTTCTTGTCTACTGTTTTGAAGCTAAATGACTTACCTTAACTTGGATTATCTTGAGTTTAGTTTTCTACATCTAGAAATAAATGTCTTACAGACTTCTTTCATTTTTAGGTTGAACTGTTTCTTCTTGGATATGTACTTCAAGTAAAGATAAGAGTTTACAGACTGCATAGGTTTAATACTGAGGAATTTCAAGTAAACTATCCAGATGAATACCGAAGGGAATGGAATGAGATTTCTCTCCTGACTGAGGATGACCGCTACTATCACATCCCCCTGTTCAGAACGTGAAGGGCCAGTGACTTCTTTTTCCTTTGTAAAATACAGTGAGTGACCAGTTCCAGTGAATTAGGTTTCTAATCATCAGCAGTAAAATCTTGAGAATGCTTGTTAATGAACACAGAATGATTTATGGGTTTATTGTGTAAACAATTTGCTTTCCCATTGCAGCTCAGTTCACCATCAGTCAGCCATAAAAACCATAAAATATATTGCTGTAGTGTCTGGGGAAAAGAAACATCACATTTGAGGACTGTCAGACAAAAAAAAATTGGACTGCCTGACAAAGAAAGCAAAGGCAATGCTGGGTTTTCCATTGCTAGCTTAAGGGTTTACTCTGACATCCATGGATGGGTTAAACTCAAGTGCCTAAAGCAATGAAACTGCCTTTCCCTACTGCCTGTCTGTCTCTAGCTAGGGAGGATGAATCACAGAGGAAGCAACTCTTGGGGTCCCACAGTTTATACTCCAAAGTATTTAACTTGTATTGACTTGGGGCTGCCTGGCATGGGAGGACCTAAACTGGGGCCTCTGTGTAGGTGCTTCAAATCTCACTTGGCTTCCCTTTTTGCTGGAATGCCTCTCTCCAGGGACAGGCAGAGCAAGCAGCTGCTGGCTGAACTTTCTTCAGACATGAGAAATTAGGCCGTCTGCACCCAGCAGAGATGTCTGAAGGTGAAGAACTTTTACACAGGGGGAAAAAATCAACAAGAATACTGTGCCATATGATTGGAAGATTGATCTGCTTTATAAGTGAGGAAAGTTCATAGCTTTCTCAAAGCTAAAAAGGGCAGTATTAATCAGTCACAGGCAACAGTTAGACCCAGTAGCTGCATGTGGTTTTTGTCAACTTGTAAATCCTTTAAGGGGTGATTCCAACATTACCTGCCAAGATTTCCTTTTCAATTCATCTGAGAAAACTGTGCATGGAATACATTCACAAACACTGTATTTCCAGAAAATACTCATTTTCTATGCATTATGTGATTTCAGCGGTGTTGCATACATGTTTTACCCTCTGAGTATGCAATGTCTAAGATTGCTCTTACTTAGGTCTCCATGTTTGAAGAATTCTGTCTGGGACAACTAAATGAAATTTACCTTACTACATGGAACATTTTGTTCAGTTCTGTTTTCTAAAAGAATCAGTTGTGTTTTGATTATTTCAAAATAAGGGACCTTAACTTGAAGAAATCTTAGATCTCGCAAAATATTTGTGAAAAGCTTACAATGCCATAGGCATACGGTTGTATTGAAGAAAGCAGGATTAATTAAGAAACAAAGCCTCTCCTTTCCTTATCCTGGAGATAAGGGGACAGGCATGTTTGTTTTTCAGTTCCTTCAGGAGAAAATGCAAACCAGTAACAAAAAAGTGAACAGGGCCTGCAGGAACTAAAGCAGTTGCATGAGGTATTTAAATGTAATGCTTGGAGTCAATGGAGAGCACTCAGTTCCTTTGTGTAAAGGAAAGAAATTTTACCCCTTACACTCCTTTTATTTGTATGTTCATGTATATATATTTATAAACACAAACACTTGAATTCTGTATTGTAGCAGTTTTGTTTCTTGGAAGTGTTTCTGAGTTCAGTTTTGTTCAATAACTTGTAACTTTTAATTAAGAAGTTTTGATAGCTGTAATAATTTCATCTCATCAAAACCTGCATAGAAAACACTTTATTTATTAAAAGGAGCTCTTTTTCACTGAATTAAGTAATTTTCTTAGTTTAGATTTGGTTCTGCTCTGCATGGGGAAATGTTATAATGCCTGAGTGTAGAATATTGCTGTCTATTTTGCATCAACAGTAACATTTACAGCTATCAATAAACTTGCCTATATTTTATTCTTGTTTTGGTACAAGCAGACATACCAAAAAAAGTATGTATTTTTATAGTGGGCTTTTTAATGTTTTGCATATTATTTAAGAATAGAAATAAAAGCATTACAGCTAAAAGTGGTAAATTGTCAAAATGTACGTTTTTGTGATCTTGAGCATTTTAATAGCAGCTGATTAATAAATATCTAACACAGAAAGTGGAATTTATCTCACCAATTTGGATGTCTCCATCTGAACTAGGTCACCTTGGGCTCCCTGCCTTGTCAGTGGCACACAGCCAGCCAGAGGATGGGGTCTCTACCAGGGTCTGGTTCTCCTGACTGACTGTAGTGAGAGCTGGAAGTGATCAGCACAAATCTCTCTGCCCTAAATATTTGAAGTTAGGTGAGATTTTGTCCCAGTAATCCAGAAGGTACATATTGAAACAGATCTGCTGGCTTATCAGATGTCAAAGGTAATAGCCAGATCATAACAGGAACAGAAATGGGATGTGAAGAAAGGAGCTTCAAGTGAGGATAATCACAAGTCAGAGATAAATGCAGACAGAGCTCTACACAGGATCTTAAGAAACATAAAGACAGGTTTGAGGCTGCACTGAGTTTTAATTAATTACTCTGGTAATATATTTTACAGGTGTATAAAACAAAAAAATACATATTTTTTGTATATAATGAAATACATATGTAATATATGAAATGCATGTGCAGATATATAAAAAAATATATATAAAAGAAAAATACATTAATAAGAAAATCATTCTGAATAAAGGGCATCTGGAACTAAGTGGTACTATGGAAGTGACAGGTGCTGCATGATCTGTTCCAATCGGTGGCAGAGACAAATCTGCTGTACAAATCCAGAAGCACAGAGTCATTACCAATTTTTTTTTAAAATGCAGTGTTGTAGGCAGCTAAAGGCAGGATGTGTTTATTATTTATTGGTTTTAGTTTAGTAAGAAGAAGAAAACATACTGAATCCTCCACGTTGGATTTGGATTTTTCCCCAGACTTGAAAATGTGTGTTAAGAATTTAACAGGGCAGCTGAAGAAATTTATATCTTTTATGCGTAATGGAGTAAAACGTTTTGGGGTTTGAACGGAATCTTTTGTTAAAAACTGCATCTCAAAAAATGTATAAACCACGTTACATATTTCCTTTTATCTCCAAAAGAAATACTGGCAATATTCATTCTTCAGCTCTTAACACTGAAATTGCTTCTTGTCTAGTTTGTGGCTGCTAAGTGAAGCTAACTAAAAGTTGCCCAGTGTAGTTTTTTTTGTTGCTGGTAAGTTCACCTGCTTAGGCTCAGGGTATTGAGTTCAATGTCTAGGAAGTAGTTTTCCAATGCAGTTTTTAATTTGCTTAAACCACAGATTTAAGGAATATGTATGGTTTCAAAACAGTTCGTTTCTCCAGAAAAATAAACATTTGTCCATTCAAAGCACAGAAAGGACCTGCTGATTTTTTTTTTTTTTTTTTTACTAGCCGGTAGTTGGACTTCCCTGTCTCTCTATACTTCACCAATCTTACAGCTGTCCCACCAGTGACCCTGTTATGTTAGTGCCATTACAGCACTAATTTTTTTTGGAGTCTTCATTTTTGTGAAAAGCTCCTGATTTTGAGGAAGAGGTCAAGCTAGGCTTTTGGTGCCACAGAAGCCTTGGTCCTTCCCTCTTGGCTTGTGAGGGTTTCAGGGTGCTTGAAGGCCTCCCTGGCAGGAGACGAACTTCCATATTGGGCCTGGTTTTGTGAGAGAGCAGGACCTGGGTCTTTGAGGGTCCCTTGAAATTATTTTGGAGAGGAGCCTGGTGTGGCTGCTGGACTGGAAGGGTGCTGCCTCACTAAGTGGCCTTTGTTCATGTTCCCAGCATCCCTCGTGGTGTTAGCCCAACCCTGCTCTTGGCCAGCAATGGAGCAGGCAGCCTCGCAGAGACGTTTTTACAGATTTATCGGAAGATTTCCAAGGCAACTCGCATGCCCCAGAGACAGGAGGTGATGATGTAGCAAGCACGGACAGGAGATAAATGCAGAAAACTTCTCTTCCTGAGGCTTGGCTGATTTGCATCTCTCTTCACGAACCACAGAACTTCGGGTCAGCTCTGTCAGCCAGGGCTAGTTAGTGAGGAGGATGGCTGGGGCATTGCTGGGAGCTGTGGCACTGTTGTCCAGATGAACAGTGCTGCTGGGAGGGAAAAATGAAAAACATGAAAGAGATAGAATGGGTCCTGGATGCTTTCATCTTCTGACGTATCCCAATTTTGCATAATTCAAAGGTTAATGCCTTGGGAGGGCAATTAACAAAAACGCCTTCCTCTCTAGTGAAGCTCTTGGCTGTAGTTCAACTCTATTGAAATGAGGAGGCAACTAAGTTGAATGCACTTGTGCAAGTTTGTGTGCGGTAACTGCTGAAGTCTGTAGCACATATAGCAACTAATAACTCTCTGTGCCTTTGAGTCAAGTTTGCATGTTCAGCTGAGTATTTTCCCCATGGCAGTAATTTACAGGATTGTGATATACTGTGTCTTGAGCAACCTGGTCCAGGGACAGGTGTCCCTGCCCACAGCAGAGGGATTGGAACTAGATGATCTTTGAGATACTTTTCAACCCAAACCATTCGGTGATTCTGTGGTCTTAAAAATGTTGAAAATTATCATCCTTTGAGTTTCAGATGACAAATACAGCATTTAGCTATGAAGGATTTTTTTGTCTTTTTTATCTATCCAGTAGATGGCTTCCAAGAATCAGAAAATGTAGTTTAATAAGGTCTGTTCTCCTTGCAATTCCTTCATTGTCACACTTGTCCAGATGACAGTGGTGGGTTCACCCCAGCCAACAGTCAAGTACCCACACATATGCTCGCTTGCTCAATTCCTACACCAGCAGGACAGGCAAAACCAGGAAGGACAGGTGCAAGTAAGCTTTTAGGCTAAGATCAAGATAGGGAAATCACTGTCATGGGCGAAATGGACTCAACTCACAGAATTTAACTTAATTTATTGTCAATTAGCATAATTAGTTACAGATTTGGGTACTGGGAAACTTAAAAAAAGACAAATGTTAGAACGCTTAGGGAAAAAACACTCCTTCTTTCCCAGGCTCAACTTCACTCCAGACTCCTCTCCACACCCTTGTTACCACCACAGGTCACACTCAGTCCCATCAGTGAGGCAATGAGCAGCATGAGGGGGGTGTGCGGTCAGGACATAGTGATTTCTCTTTGCCCTTCCTCACTTCTGACTCTTCTAATGCATCACCATGAGTACAGGCTGCAGTCTCTCCCTTCTAAGGTATACCTGCTCTGATGCTGGCTTGGAATAAGTCTAAAATACTTGTTACATGTTAATTACCAATTTTACAAAAATCTGTTCAGCTTAATATTCTATCCATGCTACTGGAAGGGAAAAAAAAAAAGTAAATATGTGTTTTTGTTGTCTTCCCTCTTTCCTTCCTTAATGTGCTATCATATGAGCCTGTATTTCTACAGGACATGGATTAGAACAGAGCAAAAGGGCCTAAGAGGAAGAGGCTCAGAAGGTATGGAATTAGAATCAAACCTGGAGTGATTCTGGACCTCACACAGGAGATACATGGGAGTTCAAGCGATCAGCTAATGGTTAAGAAGAAGATATGGAAGAGATACAGTGAGGAGAAGTAAGCAAATTCATGGCGGAAGACCTAGCAAGTCCATGGATACTACATAGAAAGTGTACTTGCAGCTTTTCTTGCCCTGCAGCCTAAAACATGATACATGACTAGATGACGCCTACTGTAATTTAAGCTTTTCTCAGCTACCCTTTCAAAGCAGAGGACTTCACTGCTGTTGAGTTGTCTCTGGAACTGTAGAGGTGTTTCTAAAGTGGATGGTTTCACTTCTTCCTCTTATTTGTTGGTTGTGTCCCCACATTTGGCTGGCATTTGCAGTGCTTCTGTTGCTGCAGCAGCAGGGATGATACAGCCAAGAAACACCTGAGCCACGTTCTGAAGTTCTGAATGGAACGTGAGTGAAACTGCATGCTTTTGTTTCACAGGTTGTGAAAAGCCCATCTAATCAGGGAGTATGGCCAGCCAAATTGGACCACATCTCTGTCTTCAGGGTCACCAAAGGTATATTCAGGGAAACGCTGAACTCTCTCATTAGCCTTCTCAGACTAGCTTTGAGCGTGGGAGCTTAAGAGTCTTCAGTGACAGACATATAGACCTCAATACATTATCTTAAGTAAAGGAGAAAAGTGGAAGTCAAACTTTACAGCCTGACCATACCCAACAAGGTGAATTTCTTCACATCCCAACATTTGATGTGAGCGTAACTCAGGAAAGCTGCAGATACAGGTATCTGGAGTTGAGATGTTCCTTAGAGCTTCCACCAAAGTCATGGGAACAGAAGCAAAACTGTGCAGTAACCACCATGGGATGTTCTATCTGGGTTACTAGCACAAGGCATCCGTGGGTGTTGGACAAAAAATGATTGTTTTTTTTTTAAAGAACCCATGTGAACTACACAAGGTTTTGGTTCTGTTTCGGGCAGCTCCAGAAGTTCTGCCTTTCTATTTAAAAATGCACTTTGAATTACTCAAAGGCAGGAAAAAAAAGGTGTGACAATTCAAACTGTAGAAACGGACATATTTGAAAAAGGGATCAAAGACATTTTTCCAGACTGTAAGAGTGGTGTAATTAATGGACTTCACAGCAGCATCAGTCAGAAAAGCCAGTTGTATCATTTCATTCAGCAAGTGTAACTGATTTAGAGACAGTGAGTACTGCACAGAATAAATATTATACAGTTAGGAATCAAATTAGGGCTATTTGAGTTCCAGCTGCTGATAGCCCTGTACTTCCAAAACGCAAGAAGGAGAGGTGAATAAAGTAAGGTACATTATTCAAATAAAAATAGAACACCATTCATGTGGAAAGCCACCAGCCTATTTATTGGTGGGTATTTTATTGCCTTTTTCAAAAAAAGACATTAACCTGAACAAAATTCCAGCACAATTAAGTGCATAAAATACTGGTTTTGATGAAGGGTTTATTACATAAATGAACATCAGTATGTTGACTGTACCTTTGTGAGTTCCAAATGTGAAATATTAATAGAAAAACACATTGATATTAATGGTTTCATGACAGCTATATTTTTGAAGCTGGTTAAAAAAAAAAGGAATTATAGTTGTAGATAATTTTAGTGCCCTAGATGCATGTAATTTACTAACAAAGCAAATGATTCCCCTGAGATGCTGCCAGCAATTAGAAATACCCAGTTTCTTGCCAAGCATTAAAACCTGCAGCCTTTGAGTGAAGTCACTTCTCCTCCTACACTTCTAAATTCAGTTAAGGCTATAGAGTTGACCCCTTTTTATTTTTTTCCCTCTGCAGTTTTTGAGGAAGCTGAGTTGAAAAGGGAGTACAGTAACTACCCTGTGGTCTCAGTCTATACCAAGGGCATGAACAGGAGGAGAATCACAAGTATTTCTTTAATTTCTGAGTGTGAGACAGAAAAATTCTGATGCTGCATTTCAGTCCTGGCATATGAACTGAGGCCTATTTTTGTATGTTTTTCTTACTAACACAAGCTAAATAGAGCTAACATTCAACACTGTCTGTCTTGCTTCTCATCCAGGGCTGCTTGATATTTTGGATTTAAACCTGCAGTTTAAAACACAATTTAACTGTCATCCAGTCTATCTTTGTGCATGGAAATTGCACTGGGTCTGAACAGAAGGTTGCTTGCTGCCACAAGGTGCTGGAAATTGGGATTTTGGCTATCCAGCTTGCTTGACATTCTCAAGCAAAACTAAGCAACTGATGCTTTCATAGGAGAAGGATTAATTAGATCACAGAGGTAAATTAGTATATGAATATTTTACCATTTTTGGCTGTTTAGAACATTGATACAAAGTAATTTTGAGACTTTTTATTAGAAAATTAATGAGGAAAAAGAGTTTGGTCCCATATGTCAGTTGCAGCACACATTCCATATATATGTCATCATCTCCTAGGTGATACATATTGAGATTTAGCAGTGCCCAGTCTCTTCACGTACCCCTGGTAAACATGCCACTTGGCTTGCCTAGGTGAGCTCTTCCAGCTAGGACTGGATGAAAAACGGAATCCCAGAACCTGGGGCCAGAGTGGGAATCCATGACATTCATTTCAGGCTTGTTGAATCAAGAGAGCAAATGCCACTCTAGCTCATTCTACAGACCTGAACTAAGAAAACATCCTGTGGATGTTACAGGATTATGTCAATTAGTGAATAAAGGGGGTTTCCATCTAGAAATGCCTCCTTTGTCAGACAGGAAAGCACCTAGCTCTGAGTTCACCACCTATTCAACCTGTCCTTTTCCTCCCATTTCATTCTTAGTGTGTTAAAATTCACTGGTCTTTGAGTCATGAGGTTTAAAATTTAAGAATGGACATTGTATAAT